GAGAGGATCTATGTGCATTTGGTGATCCTTGTGTCATCTCTCCTCAGTGTTTTTCCCTCAAGTGATCAGCTCTTGCCTCTGCCACTTGTTGTCCTTCCCCAGGTGTTTGTGTTTATCTCCTCGTTAGTGTGTCTATATATTCTGTGTTTCAGTGTTGTTTCCGTCTATGGATTGTCGTGTTCTGTCCTCCCTCCGTGTTTCCTAGGAAATGTAAGTTTTGCTGCCACATCAGCATTTGTTTTTGTTATTTAAGACTTTCCTTTTTGCTAAATCCTATAGTTATGGTCGGCTTGGGTTTCCTGAGCTGTCCCTTAGTTATGCTGCTATAGGCTTAGACTGCTGGAGGACAAACTGACCACACTTTTCGCTCTACTACTGTCTTTACGTACTCTGCTCAATCTGTTTTGTATTTGTAACTATTTTTTCTATCCTTAAAATGTGTTTTTTTTTTTTTTTTTGTCTTTCAGGTACACCTGGACCTATACCTGGACCTACCATTCTGTGCTCATCTGTCTCTCCTTCCTCTCCTCTCAAATCAGCCGGTCAAAGCAGATGGCCGCTTGTCCTGAGCCTGGTTCTGCTGGATGTTTCTTCCTTTTAAAATGGAGTTTTTCCTTTCCACTGTTGCCACTGTGCTTGCTCAGGATGGGAGACTGCAACAAAGTCAAGATTCAACTTGTCTGCTGGATTCCTTAGATAGAGAACTTTACTAATTGGCTTTTATGTGAATGTTCCTGTAAAGTGACAACTTTGTTGTATTTGGCGCTATATAAATAAACTGAATTGAATTTAAATAAGATATTTATTTATACTTTATGCTCCAGCATGGTGGAGCAGGTGGTAGAACTGCCGCCTCTCAGCCAGCGTCATCCGGGTTCAAAACCCGGTCTGGGGGCCTTTCTGGGTGGAGTGTGCATGTTTTCTCTGTGCATGTATGGGTTTCCTCTGGATACTCCGGTTTCCTCCCACAGACCAAAAACATGCATGTTAGACTGATTGGTAACTCCAAATTGTCTCTAGGTGTGAGTGAGAGAGTGAATGGTTGTCTCATTTGTTTCTATGTGTCCCTGTGATGGACTGGAGACCTGTCCAGGGTGTACCCCGCCTCTCGCAATGACTGCTGGATATGGGCACCAGTGACCCCAGGATCCGGAAAGGAAGAAGTGAGTAACGATGGATGGATGGATGGATGGATGGATGGATGGATGGATGGATGGAT